GAGAGAGAGAGAGGACCACAAGATGAAGGGGGTGAGTGAGAACCCAAGCATCGTTACCAGCAAGCACGCGTACAGTAACCTAACGAAGCCATGTGGTGGCACCAGAGACGGTGGGACCCAGCGCGACGAAGCGTCACTATTGCACTGCACGCCGCCGTGGGACCCGCACCCTTCTCCTTCCCTCCCCCCCCTCTCCTCTTCGTTCCGCCACCTCTCTCTCTCTCTCTCTCTTCATGAAGTTGTTGCAGGTGCGACTGGAATTTTCCAATGCTTTCTCAGCGTGCAAGCCATAACCACAGCGTTCCCTTTCGTACGTACACAGCCTAATCATTTCCCACCCCCCCCCCCTCTCTCTCTCTCTCTCTCTCTCTCGCATTTGTTTCTCCGTTTGGCCCCTGCGGCAACTTGGCCTATCTATCTGTCGATCTCAGCTTGATTTCTCCGAGGTTCTCTTTTGCATGCATGGAAACTCCCAATGCCCGCAACCAGGTAATTGTGATCGCCACCCCCCTCACCACACCTTCTTTACCGGCGGAGTCCCCGAATTTGCCCTGCTGTTTTGGATTACAACGGATCTCCCTCTCGTTTCACTTCGATCGGCTTAGAATGATTTGCGGTTGATCATGCTGGATCAGATCAGATATATGTTGTTCCTGATCTTATTTCATGCATGTCTTTCCCGGTTTAGCTGCTGCACAGTCTCACCGTCGTATGTATGTCGTCGATCTACTTATTGATGAGTTGTCTTGGTGTTCTTTCATGTGATTTTGTGACTGCAAGCTTGGATTTCCCCCGGTAACTCTCGAATCATCCTCGATCTCATGTCGAGGAAAGGATCTGTAGCATTCTTTTCCCGGAAGCTATCTCATCTGGAGCATTAAACCATGTCTTGTTAGTTCCTCAGCTTCTTGTCTCGAAGTAAAGGCAATCAGTAAAGTTAACCTAGAAAAGAGTTTGATGGGTCTTTCATCGACATAAGATGTTTCTGGGTTGGATCTTTGCATGTTTACTTTAGATTCCTCCTTGTGTTCTTATCATGGAGCTTAGGTTACATCTCACTACATCTTTCTTCTTGCACCTTCTTCTGTGGGATTCTTCCTACGCTAAAGCTACCAAATCGACTTTGCTTCTTCGATTCAGCGTTTGGGATGCTTATCTTGACATCATTTTCCACTGCACGTAGCTGCTTTTTCAAAGGCTGACGTCTCACTGTAATGCTCTTTAACAGTCCTCCTCTGATGACGGCATATTAAGTCTGCATGTTAGATCCGAAAGAAAGAAGGTTTTTTTCCTTGAAGATTGGTCGATCTTGTGGTGTTCTCGGAAGATCCGAGTTGACTTCCCTTCTATGTGTTCTTTTCTTGTTCATTTCCTCTCCTCGTGATTCCTTCTGCAGGCCATGGCTAGCCATCAGCTGGAAGGATTACTGTCATGCCCCAAGAACCAGCAGCAGCAGGAAAGGAAGCCAAGGCCTCACCCGGAACAGGCCCTCAAGTGCCCAAGGTGTGCCTCCACCAACACCAAGTTCTGCTACTACAACAATTACAGCCTCTCCCAGCCCAGATACTTCTGCAAGGGTTGCAGGAGGTACTGGACTCAAGGAGGCTCTCTCAGGAATGTCCCTGTGGGAGGTGGCTGCAGGAAGAACAAAAGATCATTCTCTTCCTCCTCTTCCAGAAAGGCACAGGACCAAGATCTCATCACTGCCACCAACTCCTTCAATCCACTCCCCTCCCCTACCTTCATCCCTCCACTCTCCAGTGACCTCACCTTAGCCTTCGCTGGCCTCCACAAGCAACCACCCAACCATGGCCACAGCCTTCTCCTAGGGCATCCTAACAATGAGTCCCTCCCTGCTGTCACAACAAACCATGGCTTTCTTGACATTCTAAGGAGCGACTCCATTGACAGTATCAACCCAAGTGGCTTAGACAACTACCTCTACTATGGATTTGGTGTCAGTGGGAATGTGGAGGTGGGAGGTGGTGCCAATGGAGAAGATGATGGGTTTCTGTCCTTCCATGGGGGACTGGGTGGTGCAACAGCAACAGCAGCAGCCAGCCAAGGTTCATGCAAGGACATGGATGAAGGGGAGACCAAAGTGTTGATGGGTGGTGATGGGAACTTGGCTGTGGACTCTGGAAGAGAGTGGACTGCTATGGGTTCTTCCTGGCATGGACTCATCAACAGCTCCTTGATGTCAGGAGCAGGAATAGATGTGTCCTCTACCCTCGGAGATGCCCATGCCTTCTTCTAAAATCCCTACATTCTCAGTTCTTTCATTGCATATTTTTGGCTTTTCTTTCTTTCCTTCCGTTCTCTATATATTGTGGGAGTGATGATCTGAAAGAGAGATATATATATATATATATGTATGTATACCGTAAAATTAGACTTTAGAGAGATTGGCTTGATAACTTAGCAGTGTGGAAATATATGATGATGACCACTCACATCTATCCAAGTCTAGCTAGCTTAGTTGCTCTCCGTGGAGGCAATAGGAGGAAGGAAGACAGAGATGCCTGATGATATAATACTCGATCTAGTGTAGGTTAGGAATGTGTGATGAGAATCTAGGCAGAGATTTGACTCCATGCGCAGCAACAACAAAATCTTAGTGGAGATATGGAGGATATCTTTTTGTCAAAGAAAAGCTTGTTGTTGGACCTGCCTGAGGTGGATTACTAGTGCATGCCTGCACATGCACAGAAGTCCTCACAGACCATGATGCTTGGCTGGAAGAAGACTTCCACTTGTATGTACTCTGCAGAAGATTGGATGCAATGCAGAACTGGAAATTAATAGCTCTGGGAGAAGGATTGTTGTGATGTTTGATGCTGTAGATTACTCTGATAGATTTACATTATTTATCCCAAGTTGGAAGACATTGACTGTGATGGTTAGAACTGCAGAGCTATGTTGTATTCTCTTGTTTGTCTTACCCACCTGTAATTGTCATGAACCACTGACAGACTTGCATGTCTGATGTTCTTTGAAGTTGCAAGACAATGATTGTGATAAATAGAACTGCAAAGCCCTCTCTCTGTCTCTCGTCCTACCAAGAATCCTTTATAATGATGACAATGGTGAGGTTTCCAAAGATAATTGATGGAGTGCAGTATTACATATGTTCACATTGGGAATTCTGCATCATTTTATTGATTTCTTACTTTGAGTTTTGTTTTGCCATGCAATTCTTTGAAACAAGAACACATTTTGATGCAAATTCTATCAAACAGGTTGAGATGATTATTTGATAAATTGCAGAGAGCTGAATCTTTTGGGACTGGAAACTAATTTAATTAATCAGGAATTTAACTGTCAAAATTAGGGTGACTAAGGCATTGAAAGAGATTGAATGACATGACATGATCCAACATGAATAAAGTTGAAATATAGGCACATCTTGTTTTTGGTATATGTCAAAAGTATTAAATATTACATTGAATGACAACAAAATCAGGTCTACAATTCTCTTATAAGCGAAAATTGCTTGTTAATGAGAACTAATTCTCAGAGAACTTAATTCATCAATTGGTCTTTAAAAAAAATGAGGTCGGAACATCGCCGGAGCGGCATCAAAATGATCTATAGAAGAACATGGCCGATTGGTAGTTGACACTTTCTTACCCTACTTGTTAGCTGCTCTTCACTGTTAAGATAAGACTGGTTGGTTGCAGGCAAATGAATCAGGTGCCGACAGATACAAGAATTGCTCACAGAAGCTAACCAACCTCCAGCATAAATTAAGTCAACACACCACCAACATATGGGAGGATGAAGAACACACAACCGAGCATGGTTTCTTATGGCACTCACTTGCTCCGTTTCTTTGCTTCACTGTAAAGAATAACTCCAATTACTGTAACAGTGTAGCCGAGCATCCCAGTCACTGTCACAGGATTCTTGAATATTAAGATTGAGACGACAACAGCAACAGCACCTTTGGCATTTCCAAGAACCTGAGATCACCAAAAGTTTCTTGTCAACAATGTACAAAGCATAAGAAGCAGAAGTATAATGAATACTGGAAATCATCACTTGGCACATTGTCCTTCCATGATGAAGCAAAATAATTTCAACATTGTGGTACTGTTCACCAAAAGAGTTTTAATTCATAAACAAGACCGAGGCTCTGTGGAGGGACTTGTTGCCAGTTAGGCACTTGCTAAATTGCTTTTTTATATTAATTAGACCAGAAAAAAAAAATAAACAAGCTTTGATTTCTCAGTCCAATTGATATCAAGTCATCAAAGTCCTAAACTTGTCTGCATGCATTAGAATAGCAACCATCACCTCCAAGTCTGCATGTCCATGACATACATACTTCATGAGCATTAGTCCAAAAAAGTGACTTCAAAATCATGATATGCAATCAATGGTATTCTAATTTCCATATGAATAGTGAATACAATCTCTGTCAAGTGCCATTGCTAAAGTACAACTACAGATAGAAAGCCCAGCATATGATGACACCCTTGTTAACCTTTGCTGTTGCCGGTCATTCACCATGTTAGCATAAGTTGTTCATCTGCTTTATTTTTAACATGTTTTAAGTGCTGGTGTTCATCTACATTACTTTTAACATGTACATGCTTTGGTTTACTCGGTGCTTGAAGTCAAGTAGCACAATAGCAATATCCCATCAAGTAAGAGGTAACAATGCAATTATTGTGCATACTTGCTTATCAACATCAGAAATATATAAAATTTCAAAGATGGGTAGATATGAATTAATTAACAACAAGATATAAAAAATATGTTAATTATATATATACTAAGAGTAGATTAATAAAGCATAAAACCTGGAGTAAATTAACCTTCTTAGAGCCAACCAAATTAATACAAAAGGAATAAGATGTAATGTCTTCTCTTGTGTACGCTACGAAGAGAAAGAAGGAAAATGTCATTGAGTGTGGAGCATACCTGGAGTGTCAAGGCGCTCGTATGCTTGGTCACCAAAAAGTTCGTCAAGTTCACAAAATATGCAAGAGTTGAATTAAACAATAGGTACCATATAAGTTTAAAATCTTCTCTAGCAAGTGCCATTGTAATGCCAACCACATTTTCCTCCATAACCAATGTCGCAGGAAGCAATAAAACAACTGCTATCGGAGCCATGTAGAGAAGTAGATTCATTGAATTCAGCTTTTCCCTGACAAGAATTATAAACAAATAAAGCGAAGGATGAAAAGTTGGCACTGAGATTATTGATGAAAAAGATAACTATCACCCTTTTCCAGGAAAGAAAAAAAAACAGAAATTCTATAATTAATAAGGTAAAAACAGTGAAGCTCTGACCAGCAGATCTTATGAGAAAAGATACATTGATGCATGTGAAAATAAGATGTATTTATTACCCCTCAGAAGACAACAATATCCCTTGCAGTACCGACTTCAGTGCCCGTGCAGCGGTTGCTCCAACACACATGATAAAACCAAATAGATGGAAACTAGGCTCCCCCTGCATTGTTAAACATAAGACTGTACAATTAGACTATAAATCTTCATAAAAATAGTTCAATTAAAAAGAAGTTATATCTGGATCATGAAATGAACATCAGATATGGTAAAAAAAGCAATAAATTGAGGACAAAAATGTCAAACATCACTTGGGGAATTGGCAGCATCTAGGTAACAAAAATATTCCTCCTTGACACCAGAAAGGCCAGTCACAAGTGATATCCCACTCAAGATCAAACATCTTTCTGACAATCTAACTTCTTTTAGAACCCAGCCATTACACGGTCAATGATCTTATTCCCCAAGACTCTCAAGCATTCAATTCAATAAGTCAAAAATAGGCAAGTAATCCAGATTGCATTTTGTGGAAAAAAAGAACCCAGATTGCATTTCATTGTCAAAACTCAAAAGCATTCTCCTAAATTGCAGAAAAACTTTCACCAGTAGACACAAGATACATGCATTCCAACTGATCATGCTAGGTCCTTCCTTTGATTCACAGGTTCTTCACATATTTGCTGCACATTGCAGGAAAAAGCGGCCTAAACAACTTCCTGAGAATTAATCAATTCTTAAACTCAACAAACTTTGGAAACTAGATATACTTAATTATTGAATGGTTTAGTTACTGTTTCAAGGATCCAAATATCTCCTTTTATCATCCAGCATGCAATTCAGTAAAACTGAAACTTGACTGAATCTATGCAATGCACTTGTTCTTGATCACGAGACCTAGATCAAAGTTCAAGACATATGATCAGGTTGAAATCTTAAAGGATGTAACTTTGGTAAATTATGTGACTCAGGTTACAGTTTGTCCTGTCCAAGATATCCACACAATGTTATTTTTTTTAGTCACCATAAAGGAAGGGGAGAAGAGGAGCATACTACAAGTTTTATCCTACCTTGATGCTCGCCATTGCTGCAGCTTGCTGCTATTGCTTCTTATCGTGTCTATGCTCCTCCTCAATACAGATACTATCAAGCTCTATGATCTTATTCCTCTTCGAAACCTCCTAATTTATCACTGTTTATTATGTTCAAAACCAATTACCTATAGAATATACTTCACTTGCAAAAGTAGTACTTTCATCTTTTCCTAATTTTCATATCATTAGTAAACACAAATTGATCTTCCTTGTACTTCTAATATCATCTATAGTTCTATTATTTCCTTACCTATGTTTAGAAAGCCAATAGATGGCTTATTCCTCAATTTTGGTACCTGATTTGCCATAGAAACTATCATATGTGTTGTATTTGTGTATACTTGTAATCTTTTTTTAGCTACAATATATCTTCTAAATTCTCAAAGTTTTTAAACATGCTCTTTTGCATTAATTATTTTTTTGGATTTTCTTACACCACCACAAACTCTCCGTTCATGCAACACTCCTACTTTTGGACTTCCCAAGTGTATCTTCTGTTATGGTCTTATTCTTACTAGTTATCCAAGTCCACATGGTTAATATCATTTTCTTATAGGTTCTAAACTTAGACTAACCAAAAGAAAAAAAAACCACCACCCACAACATTGATTTCTTGCAGTCACATTAACTAATAAGTAACTAGTTATTATCTTGTAATTGTTAAATTGGCCTCCTAGGTGTCTAGGATGTCTTCTTGGGCACTTGTGTTTTGGATCATCACTTAAAATGAATTTCAGAATTTAATAGTCATTCAGCATCATCACTTAAACTGAATTTCAGAATGTTAAGCAATGTTTCTGACAAACACCTCTACTTTAAAGGTTGAATTTGATTTCAATATATATCAATGATTATCAAACTGAATATAGAGATGTATGCAAACGATGAACCTCTTATCATGAAAGACGAGGCTTCTTTGTAAATCTACCATATACAATCAAGAAGCTATTAGCTGTCTAATCAGAAACATAAACAAATGAGTACCACAAGCAGAAAATTATACAAAACAATGAAATGAATGATCTCTGATCTGCTGAAAAATATGCCAAGATGAATTGCAGATGAGAAGCAACTAATCAGAATTAGGTTATTCTAAGAAGATGGACTTTGCATCAGCTTAAAACACATCATTGTAACATCTATAATTGCCATCTATTTCCTGGATGTGTGCTTTATATCTTGACCACAAACACTTCAGGAAACCTCTCACCACCCGAGCTAGATCAATATTACAATAGCCTAGAACAACAGATCTCAAATCAAACCCGGCAACATAATCAACCGACTAAGAATTCTAAAATGGCTGCGCTCTTCAAGCTCTAAGTTCACCGGCCCAAATTCAGTGGTTTCTTCCTTTCACTTAATATGCAGCACAAAAGGTTCAACCAGTTACACATCAAACACATGGCGTTCATCACGATCCATGATGAATACTGGATCTGCTAAATCTAAAAGAAGAAAGATTGGGATCCAACGTACCCCGCTGGCGATGATGACGCCGGTGACAACAGGGATGAGGGTGATATAAGTGATCCAGGCCTCCCGCTTGACGGTCATGAGATACGCGAACACCGCGGTGAAGAAGGGCGTGGTCGCCCCCACTGCCTGATTGAACGAAACCGGCAGGTACTTGAGCGAGACGTTGCCGCTGACCACCGAGCCGCAGAAGACGAGGCTGAGCGTGGCGATCTTCAAGAACTGCAGCCGCGACCGCACGGTCTGCATCGGCACCACCCTCAGCCAGGCGATGGCCACGTAGCTAAGCAGCGAGCACGCTGCCATGTGGCACATGGTGAGGAAGATCGGGTACTTGAATCCGTAGTTGCTGAGGAGGTACTTGTTGAGCAGAAGCACCCCAATATTGGAGGAGTACCACGACGCCACCAGCCCAAATGTGAACAACCGCCCGCTCACCGCCGGCGGGGACCAGTTTCCCTTAGTGCTCATCCTCCTCCGTCGCCGCCGTCGCTGCTGCAGCCTTCTTACCAGGATCTATTAACAGACAAACCGAGGCCAATTTCAGCGTATTCACGGCGATTTGCAGCAGCAGAGAGGTCGATAGGGGCGGGAGCAAAGCTAGGGTTTCGGATTAGGGGAAGAAGGGAACGGATCTGAGGAGAGATTGAGGGATTCGTCGGAAGGAGGAGACTGAGGAGAATGGGGACGAGTTCTTCTTCGTCGCCTTCTTCCGTGGATTTGGGTTATTTATTTATTTGTACTCATATAAATTAATGAAATTAAAATGATATTGTTAAGGAGTAATGGTATTGTTAATTGTTTATTTTAAAATTATTATATTATTATTATTATCATTATTATTATGAACGAATTTTTAAAAAACCCTGAGAATTTTTCGTAGAACCATCCAATTTTGAAAAATAATTTACAAACCATTTGGAATGTGAAGAGATCGTTTTATCCTTGCCTTCGTTGAACCCATTGTTGCCTCCCACCCTGTATCTCCTCATTCTTGTATTACCTCTGGTAACACCCATATTCTATTATTGTCGGATCTAAGGCATCGTGAGCACAGGCGTGGGTGCCTATGCCAACCCATGAGGAGGTTGACTTGCAAGGCTAACCCACGCATAAAGGGAGATAGTCGATCGGACCAACCTATGCACCGAGGCATAAGCAACTAGGAGAGTGACTAAGGGTGGGGAAGGGATGGCTGATAGGGTCAGCTCACATGTTCGGGTGCAACGACTAGAGGAGACGAGGGGGCGATCGACGAGGCCAATCTATGTATGCATAAAGAAGGGGGATCGATGGGACGAAAAAAAAATTGACGCTATCTAAGGATTTTTTTTAATTAGAGTGCTCTATCGTAAATTTTCAAACTTATGGATTTTTTTTTAGAATTCATCCTCTTATTATTCTTATTATTATTATTACTTTAAATGTTCAAAATCAAACTAATTTATAACTTAACTTGAAAATGTATCAAACAATTATAAGCACCGTCATAAATAAACATGCAATAATGTAAAATGCTTCCGGTTAGCTTACTACAATTCATACAAAATCTAATAGCTCAATCCTAATGTCACAAAAATTAAAAATGAATGTGTGATTGAATGAATTGATTAGTATATGATAAGTGGATTAAAAAAAGACAGGAACGTAAAATGTTAATTAAAATCTTAATTTTGAAAAATTTGCATAAAGTGTCACTATTTTCAAAAAATCTGGTATAGCACCCATTCTTTTATAAAAGATAATCCCACTTGTCACAGCCTTCGCCCATAGTATGTGCCTCCCTCTTCGTGCCCGAGTCCATAAATCTTTTATTACAATCGAGTTGGCATTAAGATATGGGGTAAATTAGTGTAGCGGTAAAACTACGTTGAGTCAAAAATATTCGTACGATAAAAACTGATTTCGACGAAAACTGTTTGTTTGACTCGTATAAGTTTGCAGGTGAATAGAAAAGAGGGGATTGGATAGTTTGCAATGCAGTAAACAGAATAAGCAGTAAGGAAAGAACATACCAGAATTTATAGTGGTTCGATCGTCGTAACCTACATTCACTCCCGATTCCTCTTCCGTCGAGGCCACCGGCTTCCACTACCGATCTTTTTTCAACGGACGAAGATCAACTACCCTTTTACACCCCTCTTCTTATTTTCAAGAGACAACATTTTACAAGCACTCACTCATCTCTAAACAAAATTCTAAATTTTAGGACTAGATTAGGGGATTTCTCAAGTGATTACTACAACGTTTTCTTACTTTTAAGTTCTCTGTACTTGTGTATGTTAACCAAGGATGAGAGGGGTATTTATAGGCTTCAAGTTGATTCAAACTTGAAGCCTAAAAGTGTCTCATCCCCGGTTTTTGGGGTACTAGTGGTACCACCTCTTGCAGCACTTACACTGAGTGGTACCACCACCCAGATTGGCGGTACTACCACTCGACACAATCTCGGAGACTGTGCCACCGACGGTTCCACTAGTTCGGGTCACTGTTTGGGCCTTTCACTTGGCCCAGCATAGCCCAAACTTGGGCTCAACTGGTCCCTAATTGAGTTGGCCCAATTCCAACCCAATTACGCCTAAAACCTACTTCGATCTAGACAATTATTACAAAACTTAAATCAAATTTTGTCCGGCATGTCATTGGTTCATCGACACTTCATCCGATTCTTCGGCGCATCATCCTCTCTTGTGGCCTATTGCCCAATCGGCCAGTTGACCTCCGCAACTCCGATTTCCTAAGCATAATTTTTACTCTTCTTGGACCAATGCTCGAACTCATAGCCTGAAACCTTCTATCGCTATGTCGACCGATCCTCCGGCTCGACGTCCAATCTTCTGACATGTTCCACTCTGACCCAATATGATTCTTCCTGCTTTTAATTGTCTATCCCTGATCGAAGCTTCCTACGTCACTCAAAGTGCATATCAGATAAACACTATCAATTGGTTTCATCATCAAAATATGAGATTCAACAATCTCCCCATTTTTTATGATTACAACCAATTGATGACGAAATTTAAACTAAACTCTCCCTATCAATATGTCATATTGATAGAACTTTTAAATTAAAAAATCCAAGCAACAAGTTATCATAAAATCATGCATAATCAAAATATCCAAAATATCCAAGTACATCATCCCATGCATGATTATCATATCATCGTATCTATTCCCCCTTTGTCATCATACAAAAAAAGAAGTGCAATTATCAAGTTTTAGAGATATGCAAGGCTTAGCTCTTTAGCAAATTTTTAATCACTTTAGAACATTCAAGCGAGTGAGTTTCTCTTCCTTTTGCAATGGGCAATTTTCCAAATTTTGTATCTTGAGCTAGCAATTTTTGAAATGTACAAGATAGCATATTTTTGCATCTTCTTGAAATGTGTAGCTTAGTAAAAATTGCTTCTCTTGAGATTTGCAAGATAACACTTCTTATTTCTCTTTTAAGATGAGCAAGCTAGCAAGTTTTGCTCTATTTGCGATGTGCAAGCTAATAAGTTTTAGCTTCTTATATATACCATCATGCAAGCTAGTATATTGTCAAAAAGAATGGAAGAATTCAATTTTATAATTCTTTTTCCCTTTACAATAATTTTCAAAGCATGACAAAGATAAATAACAAATTTATATCAATATTTCAATCATAAAAAATGAAAGAAAGTCATGATTTTTGACATCTATTCTTTTGTATATAGAAAGAATGACAAGGAAATAATCTTGATTTAAAAAGAAGATTCAAGTCTAAAAATTGATAAATCAATATCATGATCCGAAAAATATATAAGAAGGATTTATGTATTTGGGAGATCTAACATGTCTAAGTTTATCATTCAAGCTAGTAAATTTGGTTTTCTTAATATGCTAGCTATTTTCTTTCCTCCTTTTATCGTTGTAAACAAAAAAGAAGAAGGGAATAACATAATGGTGTAAATGTTCAAGTCATCACAAAAAAAAAAAAAAATTGGTAATGAGATATACAATTTATGAATACAAAGGAATATCAATAATAAATCATGACATGAAGGATATTAATATGAAAGATTAATTTGTGAATGATTCATCTTGACAAATCTCCTTTTTAGTAAATAATGAATAGAATCATAGGAGATTAAATAAGATATCTTGATTCAAATAAATCTTAAATTATTAATGTCAATAATCAAGATTTGTTTGGATAAATCTTCTCTTAGACAAGTAAATCATACGTGAATCAAGAAAAACTATTTCATATAAAATATATCCCAAAGTCACAAACATCGATAAATGATTCGATTGGATATATCATCTTATTATTAAAATAAATCATACAAAAAGAAATTCAAAATCATCATCAAAATCACTTTTCAGAAAATTCAATGAAAGCTAGATAGATTCCTATAAGATTAAAGATAGCTCAAGTTCTTTTAATTCTAAATTTTGTAATTGATTTCATGTTCAAGTCTTTCATAAGACCATGCTTCATTATTTATAATCGAAAAGCAATACAGAAATCATAGAAATTATCAAGCTCAATAAATTATAAATTAATTAAAAATCATCATTACTTCAAATTATCATACATAATTATAAATCGTCAAGTATGATACCAAAACCTTTTAACATTTCCATTACATCATTATACATCATTAAATCATCAAGTCATTAAACAAGAAGCATTTTTATTCAAAATTATTTTGTTTGTTATAGTAATGCATTTTTCTTTTTAAGTGAATCTAACTTTTCATGCTTAGTGCTAGGATTTAATATGTAATTATCATGATCAATTTTTTTATTTTTTTTAAACCACTAGAAAGAAAAGCATGATCTCCTTTTATTTAATTTTTACTAACTAATTTAAAAACAACTCATGAAAAGCATCAAGTAATTTCAAAATAAACTATGGGGGTTTCGGGTGAGTCATTTACCTTATCGTCGAGAGCCGTTAAGGCGTAATTTGCCACCTTGCCTTTGTTGGTTTGTTTTTCATCTTCGAATAAACTTGATTCATCCCAAGCCACCTTGAGTATTTTCTTCTTCTTTTGTAGCTTTTTCTTTTTAAGTTCATTTTTACTTTTTGATTCTTGTTTTAAGAACATTTTAAGCTTTATTGTGAGAAGTTCAAGGTCATCATCATCGTCACTTGAGTCATCACTCAAGTGGTATTCTATTGTTCGAAGTATCAAATCCTTCTTGTTCTTTGGAAGGTGGTTCTTATGTTCATCATGTTCAACACAAGTCATTTCATATGTCATCAAGGACCCAATAAGTTCTTCAATCAGAAAATAGTTCAAATTCTTGGCTTCTTAAATAGCCATTACTTTAAGGTCCCAACTCTTTAGAAGGGATCTCAATATTTTGTTAATGAGTTCAAAGTTAGAAAAACTTTTACCAAGCACTTTTAGATCGTTGACAACATCCGTAAACTGGGTGTACATTTCTCCAATCGTCTAACTTGGTTCCATCCGAAATAATTCAAAATCATGTATCAAAAAATTAATTTTTAAATCTTTAACTTTACTAGTGCCTTCGTGTATGATTTCAAGTGTATGTCAAATGTCAAAAGTCGTTTCGTAAATAGAAACTCGATTGATTTCAGTTTTATCTAAAGCACAAAACAAGGCATTCATAGCCTTGGTATTTAAAGAGAAAGTCTTCTTCCCCAACTCATTCTAATCATTCATTAGAAGAGAAGACCTTTCAAATCCGTTTTCAATAATATTCTATAAATCATGGTTCAAGGAAAGCAAAAAAACTCTCATCCAAGTTTTATAATAAGTGTAGTCCATCCCATTGAACATAGGAGGACGAACGATAGAAAAACCCTCTTAAAAGTCGAAAATAGTCATTTCTCTTATGTGTTAAACCAAATGAGAAAAACGTGCTCTGATACCAACTGTTAGAATCGAGTCAACACTAAGAGGGGGGGGGGGAGGGGATTAGTGCAGTTGTAAAATTACGTTAAGTCAAAAATCTTTATACGATAAAAACTGATTTCGACGAAAACCGTTTGTTTGACTCATATAAGTTTGCAAGTGAATAGAGAAGAGGGGATCGGATGGGATCGGATAGTTTGTAATGCAGTAAACAGAATAAGCAGTAAGGAAAGAACACATTGGAATTTATAGTGGTTCGGTCGTCGTGACCTACATCTGGTCCTGATTCCTCTTCCGTCGAGGCCACCAGCTTCCACTACCGATCTTCTTTCAATGAGCGAAGATCAACTATCTTTTTACATCCCTCTTCTCCTTTTCACAGGTTTAGGAGACAACCTTTTACAAGCACTCACTCCTCCCTAAATAGAATTCCAACTTTTATGACTAGAGGAGGGGATTTCTCAAGTGATTGCTATAGCGTTTTCTCACTTTTAAGTTCTCTATGCTTATGTATGTTATAACCAGGGATGAGAGAGGTATTTATAGGCCTCACGTGGATTTAAACTTGGAGCCTAAAAGTATCTCAACCATGGTTTTCAATATACTAGCGATATCATCGCATGTGCTGCAGGTGGTGGTTGTGCTGGACGGTACCACCACCTATAGCACTGACACTAGGCGGTACCACCGCCTAATTTAACGGTACCACCACCTGGGAGACTGTGTCTGAGCGGTACCATTACCTGACATAGTCTCGGAGACTGTGCCACCGATGGTTCTACTAGTTTGGGTCATTATTTAGGCTTTTCACTTGGCCCAACATAGCCCAAACTTGGGCTCAACTAGTCCCTAATTGAGTTGGCCCAATTCCAACCCAATTACGCCTAAAACCTATTTCAATCTAGACAATTATTATAAAGCTTGAATCAAATATTTTTCGACATGTCATTGGTTCATCGACGCTTCGTCCGATTTTTTGACGCATCGTCCTCTCTTGTGGCCTATTGCCCAATCAGCCAGTTGACCTCCACAACTCCGATTTTCTTGGCATAATTTTTTCTCTTCTTGGCCCGATACCCGAAGCCATGGCCCGAAGCCTTCTACCGATACGTCAACCGATCCTCCGACTCGACGTCCAATCTTCTAACATGTTCTACTCCGGCCCAACATGATTCTTCTTATTTTTAATTATCTCTCTCTGATCGAAGCTTCCTGTGTTACTCAAAACGCATATCAAATAAATACTATCAATTGGTTTCATCATCAAAATCTGAGATTCAACATCTTTCGCTAGTGCGCTAGTTACGTCAGCCCCACTACCCCCATGCTCCATCAGTTGTCGCCTCCGCTCGTATCATTGCCCTCACCTCTCCTCCACTCTTCCTCTACCATCATTTTCATCCTCGCTCATGCACCCTCACCTCGTCCTCACCCACGCTCCTCGTCCCTAGCTATTCTCACATGTAGTCTCCTCCGCCAATATCAACGATGAGGATGATGGAGATAACATGTAGAGGGTGAGAGATTTGCATTGCCCTAGCTCTCATCTACACCTCCCTCGACCAAGGTGATGATAGGGATGCTAGGGTAGGGACTATGTGTAATAGTATGGGATTAGTGCAACAAAGACGATGGTCGATGGAGCAAAGGGCATAAGGCAAAATCATCTTTTAGGAAAAAAATGTATTTAGTGAATTTTTTTTAAAAATGAAGGCAATATGCACAAATCAAAACTATAATCTTTTTCGAGCAATTTACTAATCAATAAAAAGGGTTTTGGATGTGTATAATTATATAAGATAACATCCTACTATATACTACATGAACATAATTCATGTTATTAAAATGCTAACACGTAGGAATACCATCATTCTTTGCATCAAGTAATTGGACTTCTAACCTCTAGTTTAACTTTTGCTAGTGTGGCAAAGAATCGTCTAATTCTATTTATAAAACGATCTGATCGTATAGATTTACAGGATATGTTGTTATTTTTTTGACACTATAAAGAATTGTATTATAGTAAGAGAGGACGAAGTTGAGTTCTTTTGAGACTCTCATTCAGGAGTGTGATCCAGTTCACAACTAGCATCGAAATCTGATTTAGATTTTAATCCTTAATATAAACACTTTTTAAAAATATTTTATATATTTTATTTTTAATTATCTTTATATTGTTTAAAAATATTTCTAGTTATCATTTACTTTTAAAAGTGGAGGCTAAGTCACCGGGAGGAAGATCGACCATTCCACATGTGCAAGCTAAGAGCTAACATGCATATAGATGGATCACCAACCGTTCATGTAGCGATGTTCGAGAAGATGGTGGTCCATCGATGCACATGACATCAATGAAGTCATCGGGTGCTCGGGTACTTGCCTAGGTGGCCAAGCAAGGCATGGTTCGAGTGCCAACTTATTGGGTTAAATAAGTATCTTTACTCTAGCATGACCCAAGCACCGAGCGATGCGAGCATACGCCTAATTCAACTCAGGCTTGCTTGAGCCTGAGTTGAACCAAACCTTTAACACCCACGTTAGTCATGCCCTAATGCTTGAGTTGAACCAATTATTTGATACTACAAGCCTCCCAACACCTATGCGAGTCGTGCCCTAACGTAGAAATCTCTATTTCAAGCTACTTACATATTATTCCTTGTAGTTAGATCCTTTTAGTATCCCGATTCTTAGACTTAAAAAATTTACATTAAATCTCTATAGTTATAAAAGTAAAATATTTAACCTTATTTAACCTAATGTCATTGGCTTTATTGACGGAAGATACAACACGTGATAGCACGTAAATGATATAAAAATGATAAAAATAATAATTTTAACATCCCAGTTATATTTTTTTTTGTTATACTATAATTAAAATTTCTTAGTCAATTTGTTGTAATGGTGGTGAACGACGACATCATAAGGGGCTATAGGTGGCTATTGTGGTGGTGGTTGGCCTTACTGATGTTGATCCAAATATTAGTGATTAAGGCGAGGGGCAATGGTTGTGGTAACGATGGCAGTTTGATGATGATAATGGTGGATCTCAAGGATGTGAGAAGGAAGATAGAGAGAGCGATGACGAAATGTGAGGTAAAAGGAGATGAGGAAGAGGACGAGGATGATAGTGTTGTGGGAGATTAGCATCGGCATGATCATCACCTCGTGATACTACTATTGTCTCATGAGGGAAAAGGAGGAAGAGGAGAGAGAGCGACGACGACACTATTTTTAGCTTTTGCGACTTCTAGCGAGGGGGAAGAGAAAAAAGAGTAGAGATTCGATCATCAACTCAATATATGAAATGGCTATTTTATCCTTTAATTTATCGTCAACTCGACACATAATTTTTGATATCATATACAATAGATTCGATCAAATAAATAAATAATATTAAAAATAAAATCAAATGTATATAATTTATTAATGATTGGATCTCAATGCAATTTTTTTGAAGGACATACATCCCATCCCATCCCATCTCATGTTAAATAGGCCAAGTATACAAGGAAATATATAATTAGCTTTTTCTAGATAAGAAATTGAGTTTAATTAATATTTTATTTTAATAAAATCATGAAAATTCATGATGTGAACTAACTTGTCATGGCCTAAGCCCTAAAGGTTTGATTCGGCCTCTTGAAAGTAAATTCAACGAACTCGGGTTTGACTCGAGTCGAATTGGTTCAATCGATCGACTCGTCCAAACCCAAGTCGACTCGATTTACTATTAAGAGAAAAGAATAAAAACCCGAGGCCGCGTGCAAAAGCCAGGAGACGACCGACTAACCAGCCCTAGCCTTCCCTTCTCTGCTGCTGCCGCTGCTGCTAACATCGCCGGCGAGCCACCTCCCGCTACTGTCGTCGCAGGACAAACCGCCTCCTCCCCCGTTGGTACTATTCTCACCATCTTCTCCTTCTCTCTCTCTCTCTCTCTCTCTCTCTCTCTCTCTCGTCTTTGCTATTCCCCTCTCTTCTCCTCCCATCTCCTACATCTCCTTTTATGTACTCTCCGCCCCTCTCTTTCTCCTCCTGTCTCCTCCCCTCTTGTCGCTCCGTCCCCCTGTCTCGTCTCTTCTCTTCCTTTCTTCTTTTCTTTATCTCTCCTCCTCCCATCTCCTGTTCTCTCTTGTTCTCTCCTCTCCTCCCCATCTTGTGTTCTCCACTCTTCTCATATGATCTCCTTTCTTCCGCTCTCGTATTCTATCCTCTCCTACTCTATCTTATTTCTCTGGAATCTAGATTCATTTGTGGAGAAGAAAGTTATAATTATTCATCATGAACTTGAGACGTTTCTTTGCATTCAGATGTTCAATTTTGGCGTGGAACCATGCAAACTTCATTCAGTTGCATATTATTTCAGAAACTTAGAAATCTTCTGTTGTTATCCTAATAGGATCTAAACTTATCCAGCGTGGTAAGAGAAGTGAGGACATGCAAATGCATATGTTCTCCTTCTCTTTGCTTCTGTTCATATAGTTCATATACCGACACATGCGATTGATTAGGCTCTGATGTGTAGCTTATAACACTTCTTATTGCAAAATAAATTATCGTATGCCTTTTCTAAGTCATATATAGAAACCAAAAAGTGCGCGTTTGGTTAAGATCACAATGTTTTTAATTATTACAGTCGAAAATTGAAGTATCATGACCAATACATGTAATCATTTTTCATTCAATGAGTATCATTCTTGAGTTAAGATGCTTGAGTGGAGAATGGAGATGTCAATTGTTGTGAACATAATAAAATAAGACATAAAATAATAAATGTATTATTCATTCAAATAAGAGATTATGCATTCACTTTAATGAGATTGCAATTATTAACTTAAAAATATACAAGTGTTTTTAAGTGATAACAAAATTTTTTTAAAAGTATATAAAACCTTCATTCCATCACATTTATTCTAAAAGTATATGTATTTTAAAATTATTTTTTAATAAATTATAAGATCTTTATTCGAGTTTGTGACCCTTTTACGAACTAGGTGGAAAAGCGAGTTTTAAAACCTTCATTCAATTACATTTATTCTCTTCCTATAGCTCATTTTACATCACCAGAACTCTTTGGGTTCATACACCTACTTCTTGTCTAGTAATTTTTTTTCATGCACGGATGCACCTAAATACCAAGTAGCAATGATTTGTTAGAGTTACCGCCTATGCTTCCTTCTACGGTTTTTGTTTTTCTTTTTTCCACGGTCCATATTATAAGTCCAAATTTAAGCAATCAGATTTGCCTCCCATACAATGTTCTGTACTTTTTAGGTATTTCATGCCCAAGAAACTTGGTACTTGACCTATTTTCTTTGGAGAAGATGGTACAGTTCTGTGTTCAGGATAGAAATAATATCAAAGTCGAACAAATCATTCAGGATGGTCTCAACTCTCAAGGAGTCTTAAAGGAGACAAAAAGGATAATGATTTATTCTAAAGAATAAAGTTGCAAACAAGTTAATTGTCTTTCTTTTTGGTCTCTTGCCATGGTCTTATGGATTTGATTTCGAATAATTTACTGCCAAAGAGCACTGAGCATTTACTGAACTGAATAGTTACAATTGTATATTGAAGATTTTTTAAGACCTCGCAACTACTTTTTATCTTGCACACCGTTCTATCTATACTTGATCATCTTTTACCGGTCTTGACACTGGAGAATTATCATTATCAGTTTATAATCTCTTTTACATTGCTTTGGGAATTTGACAGACTAACAGCAACCATGATTACCACTTATTTGTCAGGCTAGGTTCATTCTTTGTGTTGCTTTATATATGATATTTATATACAATATCAAATTACATGTGAATTAATAAAATACACCTGATATTGCCCTTTACAACTGCATTCTTGATGCAGCTTTAAGATGGACATTGGGATGTGCTATCTAGATGGAAATGCAGATGTAGTGGAGTTTTGCCCACACTATCCTTTCCACCATATTCTGGCTGCTGGCACATATACTTTGCAAGAGGGAACTCAACCTCACCGAGCAGGAAGCATATCACTTTTTTCTACCGATCCTGTGGTTGGTCTTGAATTGCTCTGTCGTGTATCAACAGTTGGTGTTTTTGATATAAAATGGAGCCCAAGTGGAGAAAGCATGCATCCTTTACTTGCTCAAGCTGATGCTGATGGCTGTATCGGTCTCTATAACTTGTCCAAGACAGAAACAGAAAATGAAGGTATTCTTTTTTATGCAATAGAAAAAAGAACAGAAAATCATGCTTATGTCTGTACCTTACATTGATTCTCTTTTTTCCTAAATCAACTCATGAACTTCAATAAAGAGAGCTCTGGTCACATGATAAAATAGCTTCTTTGCAACTTGAATGATCAACATTTGAGTCATGAAAACAACCTCTGCTTGTAGTGTGGAATATGCATATTGATCTACACCCATGATAGTGCGAGCATTGAACACTGGACTGCTCCACCCACCTTAGAAATTTATGCTTTGTATACATCATTCTGCAGTGCTGATTACGGTGTTGTTGCAGATGCTCCCTTCTTATCTTTAACATTGGCATGGCACCCCACCGTATCAATGAATTCATCTGGTTATCATATCTAATAATTTGGTTGCATATGTGACATTTCTATAAATTATGCTGTAATGTTTGTTTATCTGTTATTGCATTTGAATCCTGGCTTTAGAGGTTAAAACAATACTCTGTTTTCTCATGATCTGTACAAATGATTTTATTATATAAATCTCATTTACTTTAACCTTGTAGGCAGCATGTTGAAAGAAGTTTGCTCAGAAAAAGTCAGTTCCTCGATGTGTTTATGTGTGGACTGGAAGCCATCAGCTTGTTCTGTTTGCCTAGGCCTTTCGGATGGTTCGATATGTATGGTTACCGTCAGAGAGGCCCAATTGCAGATATCACAATCATGGTTAGGCCATGATTATGAAGTTTGGGCTACATCTTTCGATGCCCACCGGCCAAACTTGTTATACACTGGCTCAGATGACTGTTGTTTTAACTGTTGGGATTTGCGGGCCAGTCCATCAGAAATAGTGTTTCGGAATGCTAAGTCACATCAGATGGGTGTATGTTGCATTACTCAAAACCCTACAAATACCTACATGCTGCTCACAGGAAGCTATGATGAATTTCTCAGAGTTTGGGATGTAAGATCAACATCCAAGCCTGTTCATGAGAAATCACTTTGTTTGGGTGGGGGTGTCTGGAGAATCAAATACCACCCAAGTATATCCACTTGCATATTGGCAGCTTGTATGCACAATGGTTTTGCAGTTGTGAGCACAGAAGAAGAGGACATCCGAGTAGTTGAAACTTATTGCAAGCATGAGTCATTGGCATACGGAGCAGACTGGCAAAAGGGAGAAATCAGCACACAAGGAATGCTGAGGAAAGGGGGGTTAGTTGCTACCTGTTCATTCTACGATCGACATCTCCGCATATGGCAGCCAGAATTTCTTAGTTGAGTATGTCTTATGAACCCTTTTCACAGTACCTGCACCAGTTTCAAGAGAGGATTTAATACATTGCATACTCATCTGAGATAATGGTGATATTCCAGAATGGTGTTTTGTAAGTGCCCTTTCTTGCTCTAAAGCTATGCTAATGTCTTTTTGTGAGTACATTGTTATGTGGCAGAATATCTATATCTATAGAAGCTTCTGACAAAGATAATTATTTTTGAAATATAACACATCTCTTAGATATCGTGAGTTTTTGTGCTTCATGCTTGTAACATAAGTTATCACTGAATATAGGCAGGCGTCCTTTACGGATTATTTGTTCTTTTGCCCACTTTGCTTCAAGAGATTGCAAATTTCGAATGTGTAATATGTTGTGTATATGCTAATATCTTGCAAGAGAAACGTTTATCTCGGTGAAAACTTATTGAGTGGTTGATAGATGAAAAGGAGGGATAGTTAGTGCTTGATATGTTGTTTTGCTGATAACATAATAATACTCTTGCTAATTATTTTCCCATTAAGTTCTCTATGAAAGGCCTTTTCATACTGCCGCCGTGTTGGTTGCAGTTCTCCGAGAAGCCCCGGGAAACCATTGGAAGGTGCTTGTTTGACGGATGATGGTGTGTGAAGCCGGTGATCGCTTACTCCTGATGATAAAGAGAATAACTTGGACCCCAAGTTGCGGCTTTTGTAGCCCATGCAGAATCTGAGGATGCGATCATACGGTGTCTTCTGTAACAAGTGGCCTATGATGCAGGTGATATTTGCTAGGAAGTGACTTCAATGGATTGTAGATTACTGTTGATGTTTGTGATGTCTTGGTTGCATGGGGAGATGAGATGTAATGCCAATTCATTTTATTCATTATTTATCTATTTCTTTCAAAATGGATTGTGGATTACTGTTGATGTTTGTGATGTCTTGGTTGCATGGGGAGATGAGATGTAATGCCAATTCATTTTATTCATTATTTATCTATTTCTTTCAAATCAGATGGACTGTCAACATGTAGGAAAATAAAAAAATCCATAAATACATGTACACGATTTAAATCAGTCTAAATAATATATTTTTTAATTTTATAAGATACATTCCTACAATGTCAATTTTTTTTTATTTTGCTTCTGTTGAAGAACCTGAAATAGTTGATTGTGTTTTTGTCTTTTAAGATACGAGAGAAATTTTAAGAAAAATTTAATATTCAAAATTGATCTTGTTATTGAATAATCTCTCCAATCAGTATCATAATATTTTAAATTTAGATTTATTATTTGTTAAAAATAGTTATAATTATTAAGATTTATTATTTGTTAAAAATAATAGTCTTAATTATTATAGAACGTAAATTACTGTAGCAAGATATAGATTTTTAGGTTATTATATAAATTGAGTGTGAAGATATTGTTGAATCTTGGATTTTGATAATGAAATCAATTGATGAGTTTACGATCTAATTTGTATTTTGAGTGACGTAGGACTAGTTTCGATCAAGGAGAGGCAAATTGATTAAAGCAGGATGAATCATACGTTAGGCCAAAGTTGAACATGTCAGGTGATTGGACGTCATGTCGGAGGATCAATCGATGTGCCGGCAGAAGGACTTCGTGTCGTGAATTCGGGCATCGGGCCGAAGGATCAGATATTGTGCTAAGGAGATTGGAAATTGCGGGAGTCAACATATCGATTGAGCAATACGCCAAAGGAGAGAACGATGCGTCGGAAGAACCAATGACATGCCGGGTAACATATGATTCGTGCTTTGTAATAATTTATGTAGATCGAGTTAGTTTAGGTCTAATCGAGTCGGTATTGGAGTGAAATAAATATCAACTTAATTAGGGGCCAATTGGACTTGAATCAATGTTGAATTAAGTATGTTGTTTGGCCCATTCAGTGTCCTATAGCAAGGTCTGTCAATGGTATCACCCAGACTAGGTGGTGGCACCGTCTAGACACAGTCTTCAAGACTATGTCAGACGATGGTACTGTCCAAACACAATCTCCCAGAAGTGTCAGGTGGTGGTACCATTAGACTAAGCGATGGTACCACCTAGTGTTAGAAAGTATTAGCGATCGTACCGCCAGTATCGTGAAAACCCAGGGATTTGAATTTTGGCTCCAAGTTTTGAAGTCATTTGGGGTCCATTAATACCCCATAAATTCTTGCTTGGAACACACACGAAAATAAAGTAAAAACTCTATGATTCCAAGGTTGTAAACTCTTTTAAGTATAGAGTCCCTCATCCAAGAGTTTAGTAATAGTTCTAAGGGAAGTGTGTGAGGGAACACTCGTAAAAGAGGGGTGTAAAGGTTCTCTTCTGAACCTATGAAAATGAGAAAGAGTATAAAGGGTAGTTAATCTTCGCCCATTGGAAAGAAGATCGGTAGTAGAAGCCGATGGCCTCGAGTGAAGAGCGGGAGTGGACGTAGGTCACGACGACCGAACTACTATAAATCTGGTGTACTCAGATTGCATTTTTATTCTGTTTTTTATTCTCATATTGCAAACTGATTTACTTGCTCACTAATTTCAATACGCTTACGAATGTACTTTCAAGTTAAACTCATCTTTTCGATACGAGCTTTATCAAACGATATTGTTGAATTGATGTAATTTTTCATAAGCACTAATTCACCCCCCCTCTTAGTGCCAACTCGATCTTAACAGTTGGTATCAGAGTTAGTTTTTCTCGATGTGATTAATACCCGAGAGAGATGACTTATTTTGGTTTTCAAGAGGGTCTTTTTATCACTCGTCCTCCCATGTTCAATGAGACAGACTACACCTATTTGAAAACTCGGATAAGAGGATTCTTGCTTTCTTTGAATTTTGATTTATGGAATATCATTGAACTTGGTTTTCAAATCTCATTTAAACCTTTGAATGAATGGAATGACTTTGAGAAAAAAATCGTTTTATTTAAATACGAAAGCTATGAATGTTTTATTTTGTGCTTTAGATAAAAATGAGTTTAATCGTATTTCAACTTATGAAACTGCACATGACATTTGGCACACTATTGAAGTCACACACGAAGGCACAAGTAGGGTTAAAGATTCTAAAGTTAATCTTTTAATGCATGATTTTGAATTGTTTCATATGAAATCAAGTGAAACCATTAGAGATATATACACCCATTTTACGGATGTCGTCACTAGTTTAAAAGCACTTGGTAAAAGTTTTTCGAATCTTGAACTTATGAGTAAAATTTTACATTCTCTTCTTAAAAACTGGAATTCAAAAGTAACTATCATTCAAGAAACAAATGACCTAAATAATTTTCCCCTTGAAGAACTTATCGGGTCTTTAATGACTTATGAAATGAGTTGTATGGCACAAGTCGAACATAAGAACAACCTTCCAAAGAACATAAAGGATATGACACTAAAAACCAAAGAATACCACTTGTGATAACTCAAGTGATGATGATGACATAAAACTTTTGACGAGAAAATTCAAAAAATTTATAAAACAAGAAGCCAAGAACAAAAATAAGCTCAAAATGAATATAATAATTTGCTATGAATGGAATCGGCCGAGGCACTTCAAAAATAAATGTCCACAACAAAAGAAGAAGAAGACATTCAAGGCAACATGGGACGAATCGAGTACATCCGAAGATGAGAAACAAATTGACAAAGAAATGTGGCAAACTATGACTTGCTGGCTTTCCACAACGAGATAAGTGACTTAACCAAAACTCCTTTACTTTACTATGAAATTACTTGATGCGAGTTGTTTTTAAATTAATATATAAAATATAAAAAAAGAGGGAATCAAGCTTCTTTTTTAGTGATTTAAAAAAAATAAAATTTGAGCATGACAATTGTATGTTAACTCCTAGCACTAAGAATCAAGAGTTAGATTCACATAAAAATAAAAATATATTACTATAATAATTAAAATGATTTTGATTGAAAATATCTTATGTTCAATGAAATATGTTTTAATGATGTAATGATATAATGAAAATATTAAAAGGTTTGGTATCATGATGATTTTATATTATGCATGAGGATTTGAAGTAATGATGATTTGAAATCATATGTTTTGGAATTATATGTTACACTTTTGATCTTGATAATTTTTGTGATAAATCTTATTTTTCGGTTTTAAACATGATGTATGATTTTGACATTAAAAAAAACTTGGGCATGCTTATATGAAATCAATCATATAAATTGAAACAACTAAAAAAGAAATACATTTTAAAATTTTCTCTATCTTATTGATTTTTCAATAAGAATTTGATAAATCTATTTATGTTATTTTGAATATCTTGAAAGTGATTTTGATGATTTGATGATTTGAATTTGGATGAGTTTTATCTAATCATGATTTTTATTTTGATTTCTCGATATTTATAACTTGATATTTATTCTATACGAATCAAGATCTTTTATCCTCTATGTTTTTTTTTTGCTATCTACTATCCAAATGAATCATGATTGGTATCATTACTATTTTATCTCCTATGTTTCTTTTTGTCATTTACTAAAGAGGAGAATTATCTATATGAATCATATTTTTTTTTCTTAATTTCTCAAAACTTAACTTGAGAATTTATTTTATGAAACATGATCTTGATGACTTAGAGAATTCTTATGCATGAATTGAGATCATTTATTATTTATTCTCGTACAATTCTTTTGTTGTTTACTAAAGATGATATTTATCCAAATTAACCATGATATGTCACTTGAGTTTTTAAGCTTTATAACTTGAGTTTTATTATGTATAATTCTTTTGTATTCATGAATTATATATCTCATCACCAAATTAATTTTTCTTGATATTCTTCATGTGATGATTTGATCATTGATGTAAGGGGAAATGAACTACAATATTGTATTCTTTTATTCTTTTTTATAATAACAAAGGGGGCAGAAAGTATTATTAGCTTACACATTTCAAGGAGAAAACTTACTAGCTTACACATTTCAAAGAGATGAAAACTTGCTAGCTTATATGTTCTAAAATGATGTGAAATTTGCTAGCTTACATGTTATAAATTATGTAAAATTTGTTAGTTTGCATAATGTAAAACTTGCTAAAATTACTAACTTGCTCATCTTAAAAGAGAAGTAAAGTTTGCTAGCTTGCACATTTCAAGAAAATGCAAAAATAAACTATCTTGCACATGTCAAAAAATATAAAATTTTGCTAACTTTCATATGTGAAAAACTAGCTAGCTTGCATGTTCAAAACTTGCTATCTTACTAGCTTGCATATCTAAAATTTACTAGTTGCACTTCTCATTTTTATTGATGATAAAAAGAGAGAAGGTACGATGATAATCAAGCATATTATGTCTAAAATAATATTTAAAATTTTGAATGATGTATACAATGATGAATGTAATAACTTACTACACATGATTATTTTAATATGATATGTTGAGGTTCTATCAATATAATATATTGATAGGAGGAGTTTAGTTAAACTTCGTCATCAATTGATTGTCATCAATCAAAAGGGGAAGATTGTTGAATCTCATATTTGATGATAAAATCAATTGATGAGTTTATGATATAATCTGTGATTTGAGTAATGCAGGACTAGCTTCGATCAATGAGAGGCAAATTGATTAAAGTATGAGGAATCGAACGTTAGGTCGGAATTAAATATGTTAGGAGTTTTGACATCAGGTAAGAGGATTGGTCGACGTGCCAGTAGAAGGACTTCATACCATGAGTTCGGGCATTAAGTCGAAGGATCAAACATTCGGCAAGGAGATCAAAAATTACGAGAGTCAACATGCTGATTGGGCAATACGCCAAAGGAGATGACAATGCACCAAAGGATCGGACGAAGCGTTGGAAGAACCAATGATATGCCAGACAATATATGATTCTTGCTTTATAATAATTTATCTAG